GGAGTGTGACTCAGGAATTCCTCTGGTCATCTACTTTTTTCTCCAGACTTTTACTATAATGGTACATCTTTTTCTCAGTGTCTTATTTCTGAGAAGTAATGAATGTATTCATTCTCTAAACTTGCTGCTTCTTTCTCTACTCTCATGCCTAAAAGGCAGTCTAATCCTGGGGGCAAAGCCTTACCTATATCCAGTTCATTTTATTTCACAGCTAATATTAATTATCTTGCTTATACTGAATCCTCTCCCCAGCCACCCCTCTTAGTAGGGGAAACAGCTCTTCTTACTTTGGTAGAGTGATTTCAGTGAGTCAGGCATTCTTGCCCAGAATGAACAACAGTGACTCAATGGAAGGAACAGAATGTGAGTCCTCACTTCCTCCAATACAGAAAACATAAAGAGTTTTCTAAAATCAATTAGGAAAGTGGATGGAGGAATGCACCAGCCTCTATGTGCTGGCTCAGGATGCAGCTTGAGTTCAGGACTGTACATATCCACAGCACAAAGCAAGCACAGCTCAGCTCCACTGGCAAGATGTGTGGGGCTTGGATTATTGTAATGGGTTAGTAACTAAGGACGCTGCTTTGGAAAATGAATTGCAGATATCAGTATGAAGCAATGGGATAGTCCTAAATCCAATTCATATTGGTCCATGAATGAGAAGATTGGAGCTCAAAAAGATTGTGTGGAAATATCCCAGGAAAATCCAGATTGGATAAAATCAAATTAGAATTTAAAGTTACTTTATAATTTGAGTTTCTAGAAATATACCATTTCTACTTTTTAAAAGAAGGAATACTTAAGTGAATTCTAACACATAAAAAAAAGAACACACTCAAAATGCAAGAGAAAAAAGTACTTTACTTCTATAGTGTATTATAAGGTAGAAACATGTAAACACCAATGTCTAAATTTCCAAATGAAATTTTTAAAGCTGCTAATAATTTTAGTCTAGAGGGAATCATTAATTCTCATAGAATATAGTAGTGCAATCCCAGGTTGTACAAGGACACAGCTTTGATGTAAACAAGTCAGGCAGCAAATATAGAGAAGACCAAGTAAAAATACACATAAAATTACTGCCTCGACTGTGTGTATACAGGTTCAAGTTTCATTCATGGTCCAAATAATCTCAGTAATTAAACAAAATATAGTCTAAATTTTGCTATATGACTTATCAGAATCCATGGTCATAACAAATGATTTGATAAAGACACTTTGGTAGTCTATCAGGCATAAATTCTAGTGAATTCAGTGGAGAATAATTCAGAAGATAAGATTCCACTTATGCACTGTTTAAGAAACTACTCAAAATACACAAAAACAATGCAGGAATTGTACATTTTATAAAAAGGCTTTATGCGACAACTCAGAGAAAGAGGATATCCACATTCAATGTCCTACTTATATGTTCTAAATCTAAATTCATGATTCTGAGCTAAAGGAAATACTAATAAATTTTAATATTATTTCCAGTATTGCATTTGAATCAATTTAAGTTTCTATATCTACACCACCTAACCATAAACTGTGGATAACACTGTGAGCAAGCAGGGTAAGCTGAAGGCTCTCCATTTAACAAACTGGGTTCGTTCACACAAGCTGACGTATTTCCGTACATATTTATAAGGCTTAGTGGTTATTATTAGGCTGTAATTGCAGTTGTTCTAACACCTAATAAGCCATGGTTGGAAAAACAAAGGCAGGTTAATTTGTGATTTCCTCTACTCATTCAGAGGCAAATTAAGTGTCAAACAGCTAATACAGAACATATTTCATTTTATGAGATTTTAATTTAATTCTGCACCATATCGTTGATGCCTTAATATAGGGCGGTTTATCTAAAAAGAGGAGCAATTTATAAACCTCTTTCAATAGAATCTTTAATGATGGGATATGATAGCATAATTATCACAGTGCCTGCCATCCTTCTAAACAGAGATCTGTCGGCATTTCCATCAACACAAATCCTTGTTTTTCAGAGACTTATAATTTATTTTCTAAAGTTGGCACCCGAAGAACAATTGTGTGCAAAGAATAATGAGAATTTCCCCCTAAATTTTGTCTTCTTAGAGTTAAAATATTACTCTCCGAGCTTAATAAGCTCACTTGATCTCATTTTCTAGAACACAATGATACAGAAAGCATTTTGAAATTTAGATTCTAGATGAAATCATTTTCTTTTTTTTCCAGTTGTGCTTTAGCGCAGAGCAAAGACTTGCTTTGCAGATTTTGGTTATTCAGGAACATTACCCTCCACTTTCAAGATGATCACAGACACCTCCCCATCACATGTCAGCAGGTATGAAGCAGCCCAAGCACTCATCACTGAGTTAGGCCAAGAGAGGAACTCCTGGTTCCCCACAGCCCTGGCCGTCTCACCTGCTAACCCCCAGCATTTGTTCAGAGCTCCATGTCTTTCAGTGTGCTTGCATGAACGTTATTTCTTTTGAATTCTTCCTGCAATTTGAAGAACTGGTTAAAGTTTAAACAAATGATTGTTTCATTTCCATGCAATGAAACCATCACATCAAGAACAAGTAACCAGAGGTCACAGCACAAGTGAGCGGCAAAATGAAAAGGGGAAATCAAGCCCTCTGATTGTCCCTCCATCCTCTCACACACTGGACCAACCAACGTGACTGCTCACTAACACCTTCAGCAAAGGGCTTGTCCAAGTGCTGAACACTGCCCAGAAAACTAGCAAGGGGCAGTGATCGCTAATAATAAATTACCAAGCAAAAGGAAAATCACTGCAATAAAGGTATCACTACAACAGAGCCTCTGGGTCTGCAGGGGAAGGTGGCAATTGACTCAGATTCTGAGGATGAATATGAGCCAGAATTCATCCTGCAGAGAGGAAGGATCATTCAGGGCAATGCAGAGAGAATGTCATGCGATGAGGGCATGCAGTTGTGACTTGCACCAACTTCCTGGAGCTCACTCCATTAGCTCAGCATCCACCTAGAGACTTGCTAGGATGAGTGAAAGTGGAGCTATCCCAGGAGGCCACAGACCCATAGACTCCTCATGATCCCTACACACCAGCAATGACATTCCATCTCAGAATCCTCCAGGACTTCTCTGTTGAGGCTCAGGAAGACCTACCAGACGTACATTGTGAAACTTAGATAATTACACAGGTAGGCTGCTGGAGAAACATTTCATTAATTGCTGTAAAAATAAATATCTTAAATCTTGGTTGAGAAAGTAGGAAGCATTAAAATGCACAGAAATCCCAGCTCAAAGTAACACCTAAAATGTAACTGCCCTACCCTACCCCAGCATTCTCTATTCCTGAACTGTCTGATCCTTATCCTGTGGCACTGTTATCACTAGGAGCCAGGGCAGATAGCACAAGTAGAGTCTACAGCACACCATAGGGACCATAGGAGGGCTTACTGTCGTATCCTGTCAAAGAACCAAGAATTGGGACTTTTACTGATAAATTCATATTTGAATTTAATTACAAGACAAACTATGATGAACCTAGAGGAAACAGGTAAGACTTAACTCATTTTAAAAAATTTCTTTAGAACATGATTTTGGAAAGAGCAAAGAACTCCAAAATTCCATAAGAAATATGATTTAAATTACTTCATCATAGAACCTCAAGTCTGGGAGGAATTAGCTATCCTTGTCTCCAGGGCCTACATGCCACAGGGTAGAGCCTCATCTGAGATCCATGTGGTCCCATCTGTACCATAAAAGCTCTGTATAATGGGGTGAATTACATGTCATGTTTCAGTCTGAATTTGGAATTTCCTTCCCTTTGTATAGGGGTCTTAAACTGGCCTCTTGGTTTTATGTGAGTGTATTTTTAGCAGGCTTCAGAACGCCGTAAATACTTACTTGTGTTGCAGAGAAAAGTTGAAGAATAAGTCACAAGTTTCTTGCATTCTCTCTCTATAAATACCCACTTTTCCTTTAATGCTTAAAGAAGTCTGCAACACAGATTTATTACTTACCTCCAGGCAAATCTACACTGAAATTACAATTCAGTAATGGGAGATGGATCCAAAAAACTGTTGGTAAAATATTATATGTGTACTTGGGCATGTAGTTAGGACTGTTAATATCAATTAATTCTGTTCACAGAGGAGGACTTGTTTTAAAACAACTTCATTTTTCTTCAGCATAATATGTAATTACACAGCTGTAACTAATAGCCAGGGAGATGCAATCTACCAACTAAATAACCAGCATTATTCTTCAAAGTATTATTTGTGCTTTTTTTAACTTTACTGTCTCAGAATGAAGGGTGATTATTACATATGACTAAATGTGTATATCAAGGCCATTAGCAGAAGACGGCCCCTCCCAGAGAATGGCTCCAATTATTACAGTGTAGGACAGTTTTCTAGATAGTACTCCAAATAAATACTATTTTAGTTTGCAAATCTACTATTCTTTCAATTTAGGTATTTAGGTTTCTTTTTCCTTTTATAATACACATTATCACCACCATTCTTTCCTTTATCTTTGTGTAAACCATGTGCTGGATCACATTTACCATTTTGTATTGGGTGACATTGCCATCAATCAAGTGACTGTTGGTGTACATACCATGGGGGCTATGAAAATTTACCATAAAAATTTCATTATGATTCATTGCGATCCCCAGGACAGGCATTTCTTCTGATGAAAATTTTAGCATGAAAAACTTCAAACCTAATCTTGACCAAATACATATTCTCAGAGCTAACTCTTACAGTAAGCCTCTAATTTTAATTTTGTATTTATAGCCCACAGAACACACGTCAGCAAAATATATAGGAAATACTTGCCAGCTACCTAGTGTGACAGGCATTCCTCAAGAAACAGCAGGGATTTGATTCAGTGAATCCAGAAACAGATAGACATGCTGCATTTCAGAAGTAAACCTTATACTTCTATCACATCTTTAAAGCCCAGTAGATGTGCCATTAAGAAAACATCCTGAGCTCATCAAAGCTGGTATTTTGTTCCATTTCATTAATGGGTACAGTTTTAATACTTACACATGCAATGGAGGAATAGGAGACGGATCATAATGGTAACGGCCCTCATGATGTCTGGCATCAATTGGCACAGGAGGGTGGAAGGCAGGAAAAAGATGAGGAGGATCTGAAAAAGAAAGAAAGTCCACCATACATAAGAGGAACACCTGGAAACAGCATTTCAATTCATGAGGTGACACTGCTGTGCTATCTTCACTACTGAGGCTGAATCTACTTTTAGAATTTCTGACAGAACTCTTGAAATTTAATGACTGGGCTCATTGAGGTGAGAATGTCTGGGTGAATATTACATACCCACTCAGAAAAAGTACAGTCCCACTAAATCCCAGGCAGGAAAGTAAGAAGAAGAACGGCATAGCTTCTACTCTAGAAGAAAAGTTGCCCAGAAGCAAAGACTGAAAGGAGCCACAAAGCCAATGCGGAAAAATTATACTGTCCAGTAAATTTTAGACAAAGGCATCGTAATATAAATACTAGTCGCATGTCTCCCATGCCCTTGCTGTTTTTTAAATTTATTTATTTTTTAACAATCCGAAGTTTTTGCTATACTCTATGTGTGCACATACACACACTTTTTTTTTTTTAATTTAAATGTATGTTCCCCTCCTTCAGGGCCTGGGTTAAACATCCATGGTCCCATCACCAAGGCATCAAATCTATACCCTGGCCAGAGAAAGACTGAGGGCCTAGTTGGGAGAGATGAATAGATTCACATAGACTTAGGGAATTTAGAGCAAGTGCAGGGGGTTTCTAACAGTGTAGCCTGAACACTGGCTTTGGACCCAGACCCCCCCCCCTTCCTCTCATATACTGGTCACTAGTTCCTGGGTCCTGTGTGCCTTCTAATAGCTCCTTTACACCACTTGGCACTTCCTAACTGATATCCATCATCTCTTGCACATCTGAAAAGAAATTTTTATTTCAAAAAGTAGTTGATGTACTCTTTAAAAAAATGAAAAGTTTTAGGAGATTTTATAATTAGAAGCAAGATCAATGCTTTGTAATGATACTAAGGCTTCTCCCAAGTTTCAAGAAACAAGATAAAGGAGACTGAATCTGGAAGTTTGACTTCACAGCTCTAAGACCGATAATGATAGCAAATGTGCAGAAACTTCTTCAAATATGAGCCCACCACACTTGGTCATCGTGGGAACCCAGGTATCTCCAGCACTTCAGAAGGTGATATGTGTACCAAACAAGCCTCAGAATGGTTCTGAGTTACCTCTAGAAGCCTCAAGATTTTTTCTTGGGCTGAGGAAATCAGGCTGTAAGGACAATCCAAATGGGGCCCTATGAACAGGTTGTGGGTGACCATTGGAAGAAGACTAGGCTGTGGGGTGTGGGAGGTGTCCAAAAGCCAGGATGAGGACCTCATCCCCTGAGGTTGGCAACACACACTCCAAGTGTTCATTTTCATAAGAGGAAGTGGATAAGTGGATGACCAATACATGCACCTCTGCTGAATCCAAGTGGTTGTAACTTTCTTCCCTGTACATCCTTCAATTTTCCAAATGTTTTTCAGCATTTTTTAGAATGTGAGCATAACAAATATTTTAAAAATAATTTTAATACAGATTGCCTCCCTTGTTTTGAGCTTTACTCTTGCTATTATCCTTTGATAATATAAGTCTATGGTTATTGAGAAAAAAAATAAGAGTGTAAAAACTATGGGTATCACATTGATAGAAGCTGTGTGCCAGGAAGAGGCCCAAAGTTATAATTCTGTCAATGTTCCACTGTATCTAAGACTTAGAAAATAATCCAAGGGGGATATCATACTGAAAAATGACACTCTTATTCAAATATATTCTGTGCTTGTTATAAGGTTGCAGAAGGAGGGATGCAGTGGTATGGAAAAAGGGAAGGAAACACTTTGGTACTATCAAATCATTGTCACTGTGATATTACATGCAACAATGCTGGAAATTCAACAAGTGAGGAAAACACTAACTGTCCAATCATTTATAACGTGTTAAGACATTTCATAAAGTTTAAATGAAAAAAATAATTGCATTTTAAGCTCACCATTAAGGATGTAAAGAAGGTGGGGTCAGTTCTTTTGTAATGCAAATATTAATAGTTGATTTATTAAGTTGAAAGTTCATCCAGCAATGTTGGCAAATTCCCTGTTGCACCTAACTCCAGCAATTAATGTCACCCATAGAGAGCTAAACCATTCTATATTTTTGGGTGGAGAGCGGGTACCAGTTACCAGGGTTTGAACTCAGGCACTGAATCACTGAGCCACATCTCCAGCCCTATTTTGTATTTTAGAATCTCACTGAGTTGCTTAGTAGCTCGCTTTTGCTGAAGCTGGCTTTGAACTTGTGATCCTCCTGCCTCAGCCTCTGCAGCTGCTGGGATTACAGGCATGTGCCACTATACCTGGCTAAATCATTGTATTTTATTTAACCATTTTTCTTGAAAATTATTCATCCTCCTTAAAATAACAAAACTGAGTGACATAATCTTTGATACTAGTTTGCAAGTCTGATAAATACTCAGTGAATGTTTCCTGATTTTAAATTTTGAAACAAACCCATGCTAATAGGATTCAAATCTGGGGTAAGGTAGATGGCCATCAAATATGGGGATGGCTCTACTTTCTCTTCCACACCTAAAAGCTGTCCCTGCTGATGCAAACAGACTTCTCACTTAATACATATCACCCTGCTCTTGGAAATCAGAGAAGTAAACTTATTAGAACCCTACGTAAATTAAGCACTCATAAAATATGATCCACCTCCTAAAGGCTTCTTCAGTGCACCATTTATAAGGCTGTTTTGAGGAACATTGTGACAACTATATCAGAGGTAGAAGATATGGAATTTTACTTCTCTACGTTTTGGTTCTTGATACATTTTTCAAAATTAAATTCTCTCCATCATATAAGTGGATAGTAACTGTTTCTGGATTTTTTAATTGTTAACATAACTATGAATTATGAAAAAGCATAAGCAGGCATTTCATACACATAGGGCTAATGTGTGAATCTATTCCACATTTAATATATGCCTCCCATATCCAGGAAATAACAGTCATTATCTTGTATGTGAACATTTATAACAAAGTTATAGTGATTATGTACATAGGGATGAAGACTAACCAGTTAATCCTATAAAATGAAGAGTACCCAAGCAGCATAAAAATCTCTTCCCCCAGGAAAACCTATGCTAACAGTGACATTGAAGAGACTTTGCCATCTTTTCATTTCCACAAAATTATTCTTTCAGGATTTTGTTCACTTTTACCCTCTCTCTTTCGTTTTTTTTTTTTTTTTCCAGAATTAAAGAGAAAGTGACCAAGCACTGCAAAAAAAAAAAAAAAAAAAAAAAAAAAAAAAAATGAGAGGAAAATATAAAACACAATGACTGAGGCATTCAGTGGTCATTTCTCAACTATTGAACCCAATAGCATTTTGTGAGTTTCAAAGTTAATTCTGACTGAAAGTATCTGATGCATCTTGTAATACTGTTTACACAGTGTTTATGTTCCAAGGAAATTTATTATGAATTGTGCATTCTGTAAATAGGTTTAAATAAAGAACAGAAAATTAATGGATATGATCAGATTTGACCAAAAGACATCTGGCTTTAGTTTAAGTGTTTCACAGTTTCTGTTTCCCTCTTAAGTTTAGAACAAGTATTTCCTGTCCAGCTGAAGTCTCTGTGAACCACTGTAGCTTGCGTGGGTCATTAGTGGAAATCGCACCTCCGACTCCACTTTTTGGAAAAACTCAATGAAACACCCCTCTTCCAATTCAAGACATGCTTGACCATAGCCCCAAACAATTAATAAAGAACAGAAAGCCGTGTGAGCATTTGCCACGCACGGCATCGCGTGACATTAACCCTCACTTGTTTGGCAAAAGATGCTCTTGAATCCTCAAACACTGGGTTCCCGTCTCAAGTCTCCGTTTGTCGTTTCTACGTGGATCAGCAGCATGTTCGATGATCACAGACCCAAAAAGTTGTCCAAGAAAACCCACATGACAAGACGAGGCTCCTGTCGCCAGCAGCCACCGTAATTATCCGCCTCTCGGTTTATTATTTACACATGAGCAGCGCAGCTGTGGCGCATCATAACTCAAGTGTATGTGTAATAAGTTACCGCACCGCAGCCATCTCCTGCCCTGGCCCTTGACAAAACACCACATGATGACTTCTCCAAAGTCAGGCGAAAACTGCTGAAGCAGAAGGAAGTGCCACTAAACCTGGCTACCTCCTATTTATCATACAATTTCCTGACTGATGGTTCCACAAACCAGCTGCTAAGTGCTGTGTACTCTACTGTCAGCAAACTAACGCGCTAAATGGAAGACAGGGAGAATAATGTGCAGAACTGGTGGAATCAATTTTACTGAGGGAATTAAAATTCTACCAGGTGGGGGTGGGTCTGTGGAACAGTGGTAAGCAGTCAACTGTACATGCTTATGGTTGCAAAGATGATTTATTACAGACTTGCAAGAGGCTTGCCTATTGTACCAGAGTCCTCTTATACTGAACAGAGATTTGAAGAGTGTGTACTACCCAAGCCTTGAGTGCAATAGTCTTTAAACCCTATATATATATATATATATATATATATATGTAATTGACTTGACACATGTTTAAATTGAAATGCGTAGTAAAAATATTTGTGCTGGGTAGAGTTGTCAGTATTCAATTTCACACTGGCTGTCATCATGCTAAGCATTAAGGGTCTCATTAAGAATGAGAGGCATTGATTTTTAGGTCTCTTCACAACAGCCTGGGTTGATCATAAAACCTGTAGCAAGAGAATAACCAAGAAAGACACTTGGAGATTTATCTTCAGTTGCATCCTTCTCCCAAGAAATAGTTTTAGTATCCTCAGGCTATAAGATCTCTTGGATGCCATCCTGGGAAACTGTCTTTTAAGGTTTGAAATTTACATACAAAAATTGTAGATTAAAAAAGAGAGATCAAAGTCTCCTCAGTGAGTGCCCTGAAGGAGTAATTCACCAAATGATACTTGAGCAGCCTGACAGTGCCCAGGAAACAGCACAAGAGAGATCCACTGGAGTGAAGTACCCAGTGGAGAAGTTCTCCTGGCTCATTTAAATATTGAAAGGGTCTGTATCTGGCC